CGTCGTCAGTTGCTCTGTCAAGATCGGCCTTGTTTTTTCCATCTTTCTCTCCACCCACTCTCTTAACAGGAATAACACGGTATTTCTCTTGACTGGCCTTATTATTTCTGTTTTCAAATTTGTTGACTTTTTTTCATTGATCATCAATATCTTGTAATTGTTCTTTGTTGAGGATTTTATGCTCTGCTTCACTGTTGCTTTGAGCGCCCTCAGCTCTGCCTGCCCTTTCCGCTTTTCTTTGAATACAAAGTCCCATCCCATTGCCTCTGCGGTGTTGTCGTTTGTCTCCCTTTGATGACGGTACTCTAGGAGTGTGCAAGTGCGAATCGGAGTCTGACTTGCTCTCGTGTCTAAGTTCGGGGCGAAGAAAAGAAGATGAAACCACATGATCAAGGTTAATTGATTCCTCACCGATCCATCCCATGATCACTCTACGCAAATACTTTGCATAGCGCCTTGGGGCACTTATGAAGACATTTGAAGTTGACATTGTCTGCGATTGACCTGAAGTGGTAATGTGTGGGAAAAAAAAACGGTCGGGCTGTACCGGCATAAACAGCCATAATCAACACTACAACGCCGCAGATATTAGAGCCTGTCTGAGGGACACTGGAACATTGGAAAGCAACATTGGAAAGGCAATGCGTGTGCAGTTGCCGTAAAAGAGTATGCACTTATCGATTGAGTGGGAGGGAAAATACCGAACGAGCGCAGCAAGATCCATGCGTCATGACTGAGAGCCAAATATTTTCCTGATTTCGATTTTCTAATGAACACCTTTATATTATTTTACTCCAACACGTCTATTAATTATTAAAAGAAAGTTCATTATAAAAATTGCAATCTAAAAAAAATTGTATTTAACTGAGTCAAAGCCAAAGATCACCACTCGATTTCGAACCAGCGCGACACAGCTAATTTATCTTTATTCTGCAGCATCACCATTCTTTCAAATTTTCAAATCGGTCACAAATATTTTTAAAACCATTTTCATTTTCCGAAGAATTTTCATTTTGCTGATGTTCAAGCCTGTTCTACACACATTTTGGGTTCCATGCCACGGAGAACTGGGTTCCCTTTTACGAGTCTTTCCTGATTTCCGGATGGAATACAGCAGAACCCCCTAAGAATCCGGAAATTTAAAAATAGTTCGAGTTAGCGGGGGATTCGAGTTATCTGTTGGCCTGTCCCGATTGTGCTCGACAAATTTTGAGAAACTTTTGGCGTTTGGGGCAAATTTTTGCAGTTCTAGCAACCTAGAGAAATTTTTGCCTTTCTGAGCAAGTGAATAGATTCAGAGCACAAAAAACGAAAAAGTCAACGATTTCATAGAAAAGTGTAATTTAGTACTATCAAATGAGTTGATAAAGGGTCCTCAATAAAGTTCTTCAATCCCGCGATCCCGACGGTTTATGCCAGCCAATCCCGATCACGATCATACAATTTTGTCTTAGTCTATTTCCTAACCGTAGGAAGAGGGCTATTTCGGTGGGTGATGATTTTCTCAACCAGCATTGAACTTTTGAAGTCTATGATCACCGTTAGGCGTAAGTTTATCTCTTTTCACCAAAATGATAATATCGTTCATTTTAGAAGTTTTCAAAGTAGTTGTTTGAATAACGTACGCTATAGTCTCGGTAACGACTTCTTCTATAAAAATCACCGATCACGGACAAACGCATTACAGACAGGTCGGTATCAAAGAACGAATAAATAATGTCAAAAAGTGCATTAAACACAAAACGTGACGGCAATCCCATAGTTTCATAACAAGGGAGATAAAGAAGAATTGACCTAACACATTCAGCTGTTGAAGCGAATACTTCCTCCGCAGCGGGAACCTCAGTCTTCTGATGTGAAAATCAGCCTCTCGCTCCAAAGATGGAATGTCACCATCATCACACGGGGAATCGCACTCAAATATTCCATCTTCCTCTTCGTCTTGTTTCCCGCTGTTTTCTTGCTGCTCCTCGAAGTCAGAGCGTTCGAGGCTGACCGGTTCGCCGGGCTGTATAAGTCTCTGATAGAGGTACGACTGGGAGTTCCAGCTCTTGCCATCGTTGTTTATGCCCCGTTCCCTCATCTTCTGTATGCTCTGTGGTATTTAAACACGAATGTCAATGTAGCTACAAAGCTAATGTCTTCGTGTTTAATATAATAAAATACAATGAAAATACAAATTGTAGTAGAAATAGAAGATTTACATGCCTACCAAATAATACATTAATAAAATATAAGATACTATAAAATAGGATGTAATTAACGATATATATGAAAATACATGCTTGTGATATTCAAATGTTAAAATTGACAAAACTAAGAATTTTCCTCTTAAATTCATATAAGTCCTCGCAAGCTCTCAGGCCATCAGACAGGGAATTTAATAGTTTAGCAGCCAAGTAATTAAAAGAATGTAGACCACACACTGTTGTTCTCGGCTTAGAAAGTGACAAGATGTGGCGACCACGTAGGTTGTAATATGCAGAACGAGGAGTAAACATGGTTCTCATATAAGAACCTAATCGATACTTTGCACGATTCACTATACAACCAGGAGAACATTTTTCCAATAAACTTTCTCTATATCATTTTCTACTTAATTTATTCTTCTATGGACTTCTGAAAAGCACGTTTTGCTCAAAAAAGCACCACGTGACTAATGCGTTATCCGAATAAAACGAGTTAAAGCCTATTTTTATATGAATTTTCTATTTTCGAAGCACCTAGAGTATGATCTTAAGGTCAGCCCTCTAAAATAGCACCTGCACTGAGATTTTTGTCAAACTTTACCCATTGATTGTTTACCTTGTAGGAATGTAAATTTTGAAGTAAAAAAGGGAGGTCTCAGTTTTCGTTTAGGGGCAGCATTAGCTAGTATGCGTATCAAATATTTACTAAAATCTCTTGAAAATTATAGTTACTAGTTCCCACTACATTCTCGTTTCCAAAAATTGAATTCCTTTTCCTACACAGAGAATTCGTTGTATTTATTTTACGGATAGATAATAAGAGCCCAACACCAAGGGAGAGAGAAAATGATAGATCAAGCTCCTCGTTTAAAGAAAGTGACAATTGAACTCTCTGGTGAGCAACGAGCAGAAAGAAAAGGCCACTCGAAAATTTTAATTTCGCGCAGTGGTCGGGTGTAAAATCATGCGCAGTAACGATGTTCAATGTAATGTTAGGAATGACCTTAAAAGTGCAAGGTATCCGTAACATACATAATGGGCATCAAACCAATCACACGCCAT